TGTCAGATGATCTACAAATAACTCATGACATGGCACAATTGGCAGAGGGTGTCTTATGCGGCAAAACACACATGCACATAACAAGCACCTCTCACACATTTCTCATAAACCTACTCAGTATGCAACATGAGTAACTTCCACGGTTGAAGAAAAGAATCTGGAGCATTTGTCTATTTCGTCTGGTTCAAAAACATATTTAATATACCAGTCTTAGTTGCACTGTAGTGCGATTTGTCATTTATTATCCTGCAAATCATGTGCAAAAGGCCAGTTTCAGGGTTAATGCTAGAGTGTCCAAATGAGAGATTTACAGCGCCTGTTTGAACAGATTGTCCAATATACAAAGCGGCATTCACCACGGTGGTTTATTGTACAAACATATGCATTATGGAAATGCTTCATTCTAATGGTATAGCCTTTGAAGGATGTACTCCATTTTTCTCTTTTGAGCTTAGTCTAGAATATATGCCGGCGCGGTGCTAATGGAGGATAGGTAGACTGGGGACTTAATGGCTACCCCTGCACATCCACTTTGACACAAGCTGTTTAAAAGCATCCATTAAGGACATGAGTATACTTTTACATCGGAACACTGTGCAAATGTATTTTGAAGCTAAGCATGCAGTCTTTACATAATATCATCCTATTTTGTGTCTATTTGAAAATATATACTTATAATATCTGAAATATTTGTGGAAGGGTTTGTGACGCATTAAATATTTGTCCACAGATTTGTACCTGCTTGTATGTTCACGTGTGTTACACTGCCGTATCTATATGCCTCTCAGGTTTAGTGGCAGTAGTTAGAGGAGTAACAGAGTGCCAAGACAAAAACACACAGAACATTTTCACCCACTTTTACCGTTTACCCGCCAATGCAATAAGCGTAGCTTTTTAGTGTTAGCCACATGAGAGCTAGAACTATCAAACACTAATCACAGGTTGGAGGAAAAATGAAGGAAGCCGAGATGGAGGCTAGCAAAGGGAGAAACTGCAATAAGATGAACTGGACAAGGTTTGAATTAAATGGAACTATAATGGCTAAGATAAAAAAAAGTCTGCTGTGAAGCGTCCACCTCAGCATCACTGCCTCCTCCAGCTTTCTGTCCGTCCACCTCCTCATTTATATTCCTCGTGATTTCTCATTCATGTTCTTGCTGATCAGTTTCGGCTGGGCATCGATTAGGGTCATAACTGCACAATGCGCATCGCATGTGGATTCACAATTCATATTTTACACCTCACACTTCACATCTCATTCTGTTTCTAGCTTTGCTCACTTTACTCGGCTTTCTCCTCTTTTTTTTCCCCTCATTCAGTTTAGATTTCTGAGTCGCCCTCTTCATGCATCTCATAAAAAAATAACCACGGACTGTAATCCCTCCGTAGATTGTGTTAGACTGGATTTGATTTCTAATCCCCCCCCCCGTGCCGTCCTCGGGGACACACGTCCAGCGCTGGACATGAGCAATATATATATTTTATTACCTAGTAACCAGTTTTATCATCATGAGGTGCTGAGGAGGAAAACTATGAGCCAATCTCTGTTTAGAAATGTGTTTGCACACTCGTGTTTAATGCTTTTTGTAGTGTCACTGGGATTTGTGGTGGCATTGTTAAGACTACGCGGGCTCCAGAAGCCTTGTGTAAGCTCTTACAACAGACAGGTCACTAAAGCAGCTGCAGGAGTGCTGCAACAGTAAGAGCTTTTAAGCAGGGAGCCCTTGTATATACCATATATATGAAGTTTCTTATATAGGCGTATAATTATTTTTCCTCTCTCTCAGTGGGGACCCTCCATTGGTCCGATGTCCACTCATACCCTTGATGTTCTGTTTATCTACTGAGTGAGTTGACTTGCCCGTCCATCACAGGGAGAATCGTCCACACTGTGCTGCTTTTATCCTGCGGCTGGTTCCTTCTCAACTCTTTTGTTTTTTCAATTCGACCTTGTTTCAAAAGCGTAGAGGTGTACCTACTCACAAGCAATGCATGACACACACTGCATTTAAAAAAAAGAGTGAAAGGCAGAGGGCAGGACCCTCTGGACAAGGACCCTGTTGGTCAAGCAGCTTTACTGTCATGACTGACTGAGGAAAGTCGCATTTTCAATATGTGGGAGGGGGAGAGAAAGAAAAGGACAGTCTGTGTTTGTGGCAGTATCTGTCATACTAGTGACTCGAAATCGTCCAATTGCACCAGCTCTGAATCTGAACACACACACTATATCCGTCACAAGAACACTAACAAGCCCATGTTGTGTTCGTTCGACCATGCATTTGAATCAAGGGGATAACACTCTCTCTCACACACACACACACACACACACTCATTCAGTTCCCTGATCTCCTTCAACATCTCCCACACGTTCCAGAGAACGAGCAACTTTAAAATGACACCTGGAACGCATGTAACATGACACAGCACAGCAGAAAAGTCAAATAACTTTGCAAAGATTTGTATATTTTGTTTAGCCAATTATTTCTCTACATACTCAAGCACCATTTTGTTTACGAGGGAAGTGTTTTCAAGATGAGCCAACTGAGTGTGTGATATGGTGGGGGGTGGGGGTACTAATGAAAGAGCAACAGTGAGATAGTATGAGTAAGCATAGGTCAGGTACTGGACAAGTTTTACAGGCATTTTACGTCAATGCACACTGCAGGAACAAGTGACCCGAAGCAGTCGCACAGCACGCTGATTGGTGCACCTTCCTCAGGATGATGAGTATGATTTTTCTTGCTGGTCTGTGGAGTTGAAGCAGACAACTTGCAGTTCAAAAGTATGCCCCTTTCATCTCTAAATCACTCCCGCCTTAATATCGTTGTGTAATTTCAACCCTTTTTCCCCCCTCGGCTTCCACCGAGCAATTGAGATATTGTGGAAATGCAGCAGGGCGGTTCAGCCGCTCCTGTTCACATGGTCCTGTGGGATTCCAAAAGGAACCTCTTCCAAAAGAAGATTCAGTCAGCCTCCCTGAAGCAGGCGAGATTGGGCTGGCGAGGTGTTTGCCGTGGGCACACAAAACATCCCTGCACCTGGGTCCACTCCTCTGCAGCCTGAAGCTGGAACTAAGCCTTGCAGGCTGCTGACAAGGGATCAGTTTGTACTCTGAATATTGAAAGAGATCAACTAGAATAAGATACTTATCCAATATCAGTGCAGAGCTTTATAACCTATGGGGAAGATATGTGCGTGCATGTAAATCACACTATCTCGACCAGCCTTGACATCCTCCAGCCACATATTCCACCTACACTCCCCGAGCTGGTTACGCCATTCAGTCCTTCCATCACAAGAAGCACCAGGGCCCTATTTTGCCCAAAATGTGCACAGAATACCGATGAAGGCATCGACCGGGAGGCGTTCCCTGGTGAGTAATGTCGACAAAAAAAATATTGTACAGCTGCTCTTCTTGTGGCCTCTTTGTTTTTCGAAGGTACCTGACAAAGCATGCTTACTACCGCTGCCTTACGTGTGGTTTTATCCTTTCAGTCGCCACTCAAAGCACATCGCCATGAGAGTGGATTGGATCCTGCAGATTGATTAAGAGAGTGAGAGCTTCAGAGCAACCTCAGCTCCCCTTCCATCACAGAAAGCTCCCACATAAAAGCATTTGATGTCGTAAATCACTTAACAAGCGAAGTGAAGAAAGAAGTGTTGTCATCTGCAATAGGATAATGGAACTGGACAAACTTTAGTCCTCTTCTTCACTCTGATTCTGATAACCAATATTTGTATTTTCTGTAAGAAAGGGGAGTTTAAGAGTTGGCTTTACTTCAAATAAACAGTTCACTGCTTGTCTTACAAATGCACCAAAATGTGGATGTCATTTAAACAACAGCAGCATTGGTGGCACACATTTGTGAGTGAACTAGAATGAACTGAATCGTCTAATTAATGTAATAGATGCCATGCCATGATAGAATTCATTTTATTACTTTGCTAAGATATTGTTGAGCTGTGTGTGTGTGTGTGTCTGTTGAACACAGTTAACAGATGAGTTAACAGATGAGGGATAAGAAATAAAAGGCTATGCCACAGGCATTTGCTGGAGGAATTAGTGTCTTGTTATTGTACAATCCATTAAATAATTCAAATTTAAATCAGCTCTTCCGTGTTCGCTAAGACAAAAAATGAGAACTCGTGTAGTTACGATGGCAGGGAAGTTGAAATGCGTTTCCATTTCTTTATAAATGATGGTGGCGACGTTGCCAAGACAAATCGCCGACTTTTTGCCGTGGTGGATAACATCAATATAAGTCATGCAGATTATTTAGATGGGCTCCCAGCGAGTGTTATTTTTTAGGAAGAAGCAGGTGTAATACAATTAACAACTTGAGTCTTTTGAAAGAAAGAAAACTATTCATTATCTTCTCTGGTGTAATTACAAAAGCTTGCTGTTCTTCACATTAGAAGAATAGACAGCTTTTCTTACTGTGAACACATTTTCTTTGGGGAAAATAATGATTAATATTGGCATCACCCCAGAAATAAAAAACACTTGAGCAACAGATGCATTTTCTTTAAAGCCAGGACGCAGATCACAATCTACACGGTGGCCAAATTTTCTTAAAAAGAATCAGTCATTTATTAAGCTTTTGGCATTTGTTTCTCAATTATGCTCGAGCTGAACCTCACGTAAAGTATACTGTCATCCTCTCTTGTCTCTCTTTTTTTATCTGTCTCCTATTTTTCTCTTGTCGCATGTCTTGTGTTGAAACACAATCTTATCAAGAAAAGCTGAACACGTGATTTTGATGCAGATCCTTTTTTTCTCCACTATTGAGGCCACTAAAAAGTCCAGGAATGAACTTGAAAGAGTCACTGAAAAAAATCGAATTCCCTCCAAAGTCTGTTGTATTTTACTGTCCCTGAGGTCATACAATATATTAAAGAGATTTACTTTGGTCTTCGATTTGTGAATAGTGATACCAGTAACAAAAAAAAGGAAAAAATCCTATCTGATCCTTTTATTTTACCCTTGCAGCGCCACTCACTTTGTGGAATCATAAAAAGCAGTGTGTTTGTGTCTTGCAGCTCTGTAGAAGATCAAAACTCCATTGAAGATCCCGTCCCTCCAACATGCTGTGACAGGTGCGTCGTTCTGGCCACTTGGATCTCACAACTCAGAGGTTTGATCATCTTCATCAGAAATGATCTAACGCTGACCAACCGCCACCTGTGTAGAAGTAAAATACCGGCTGAGCGTGAAAAAGCTGTTTTGACAGAGCATTCCCCTGGGCACAAAGGAGTGTCATATTTTTCTGCTCGACTGTAATTGGAAATATGGACATAATTAATACCAACTGCAGTCTTATTTAGCTTCAGAAATACATTAATTTAGCTGGATTACTGTGGGCGACACTCAATGATAGTACATCAAATAAACAAGATGCTGGCTGTTGAACTCACCTTTACTCACTTACATTTAAAGGCAGCTGCAGCGACCACATACTGTAACACACAGCATGCACAACTAAATGCAAACTAAGCCAAAAGCCATTCAGACCCCTAAACTCAGAATCAACAAAAACGGTATTTTGAACGTATTCTTAACTACAAATAAATCACTGGATTTTTGATCCTCTTTCCCCCGGTGGTAAGTTCCCCCTATCAGTCTCCTTGCATCCTCATCCCTTCCTTAACATCTTCTGCAGTCCCTTGATGTCTGCGGGTATCTCTGAGATGCATGTTGCCGATCTCTAGCGAAACCGTTAATGAACCAAACAAACGCGCACACACACTACAATTTTGTCCCATTCGACTACACAAGAAATAGTGGGCTGCTTAAACACGTGTATACGGGCGGATACACCAACACACTGGGCTACAGCTGCTTATCTATCAGAGGGGACCAGACCATGCCAGTCCAGTTAGCACTGGAGCAAAGACACAATGTGACACCTTGGACATAAGCTGCGAGCTCAGTTTGCCTGAGCTCCTACTGCAGAAGGTCACGGTGGAATTAATGGGCAGCTCATTTATGTTTTAGTCTTGATATGTCAGTAAAGTATGTTAAGTGCATACTTGGACTCAACTGTACACAATGTTTTCAAAAAAGAAAATCGAGCAGAAGGAAGATATAAAACTCAAAAGCCATCGTGGAAAACGTAGCGTATTTTATCCTAAATATTAAGGGGAGGCCATACCACATAAAAAATATACTTTAGGTAAAGTAATGAAATGTCAGGCTAAACGAATGACATTTAGGGTATTTTTTTACTAAAACCGGTGAAATTTGCCCTGAATACAATGTAAGGGTTAAAGGAATACTTCACTTAAAGAAGTAGAATTTGAATCAATTACTCAAACCAAGATACCGGGAATTATTTTAGAACCCTTTGTTTGTCTCGCATTGTGTGTCAAAAAAGGAGAAAAATCGTGATGAATTTAATATAAGGGCGGCCTTAACAGTCTGTCATTTACTTGTGGCGAGACTAGGAGGATATGGACTATGGAGGCTCCCCATGAAGCATAGTGTGTGTTTTAATTTAACACTAAACAGCGACACTGACTGCTAAGCCACACGTTTATCTGCTGCATAACATCTCTGACAATTACATGCTGACAAGCATCTTCGGGCTCATTCATAATGACTTTGAGTCTAGACAGGCTTGCAGTCTCACTTCTTATCTTCCTACTTAAGACTATAGAAATAAGAAATACGGGTTTGTACACTACAGCTGTTAACAAAGCCATGGTTGGTAAAAAAGTCTCTTTCCCCTGCATAGATTAAGAGGTATTTATAAGTCTTGATGCAACAGCTGTCGTTCAAGAAACTTTCAGAGCCTTGATAATGTCTGTTGTGAGGCTTTCAGGGAGAAACTAGGGGACAGGAGTCCTCTCTTCCCCTCTCTGTCCCCTCCCCAGAATCCGTCCGCTCGCTGCTGCAGGAAAAAATAAACCTGCAGGACGGGAAAGAAGTGGAAAGGAAAAGTAGAAAGATGGGCAACGGAAGTGAAAGTGAGAGAGAGCGAGACAGAGAAAGGTCAGGTGAGGAGAGAGTGGGGGGTAGTGAGTGAGGAGCAGAGTAGCATCGGGATCTGCTCACAGCTCCAGCCTGTCATCACAAACCGGGGGATTTTAGTTTGTACGTGCGAGGTGCAATATTTGAATATGCACTGCGAGCCGTCACATTTTCCCTCCCTCTCTCTCTCTCTCTCTCTCTCTCTCTCTCTCTCACTCCCCAGACAGCCTGCTCAGTGCACAGCATTTCAGAGCAAGAAATGTCATTGCTGCCTAGCAACCACGTGATAGCCTCTGGGGCTATGGCAATATGACATTTGTGTCTTTGCCAAATTTCACACTTCCCCTTCAAATGCATGGTCGAACCAATACGACGGGAGCCTGCGAGTGGTCTTGTGACAGATTAACAGTTTGTGTCTGTGTGCGTGTGTGTGTGTGTTTGTATTTGTCTTTGTACAGGCGCAGGGCCAAGCTTTTTGATCAGCTACGAACGTGCCAAGATAAATGTTAACGATAGCTACTGCCCGGTATGGCTTTGTCTCCGTTGTGTGTGAGTGTGTGTGTATTATAATAACGTGTGGTTGAATGCGTGAAACTAATTTCCACTGAGATTAGGCTGAGGCTTGTTTGTGTGCATACACTCAGAATTTACTGTATGTGGAATACCCACATAAGATTCAAAGACATATCCAGAATGGTTTGTGCATTCAAACATTTACAATTGGATATTTTAAAAATTAAACAAAGGATATCAGCTGAGACAAATATCGTCAAACCAAACATTGACGAAATAAAAATGAATTATTTAGCGTCAGCGGTTAAGTTCCTGCCATCTACCTAGAGCTGACATGACAATGTATAAATTAATTCTCCCCTTAAGATGTTTAATACTTACAGTAATATATTTCCACATCATTATTTTAGGTCAGATGTGAGGTGAATTGTTTCCGTCTAAAGGCTTATCCATCTGCACCGTGGCGAGCACACACACACACACACACACACACACACACACACACACACACACACACACACACACACACACACACACTCAGCTCTGTATGTACGGTATTAAGATTCACCCTACATTCATGCCAATGCGTAGCTTCTCCAAACAATGACTCACATGTATGTAAATAAAACATACTGTAAGTACAGAGCATGCGCAATAAGACACCAGGCTCAACTACTGTTGAACTAAATAGTACATTGTGCATGTTTGGGTTTTTGATGCCAGATTAATTAGTTCTGGGATGTGCACACGTTAGTGGGTGAAATCGGCATATTTGTCTTTAAAAAAGCAAATTTAACTGCATTTCAAGGACAAAACTGTTAATTACATAATGCTTGTCTCAAAAAGCACAACACGCCCAATTCAAAAGTGATCCAAACTTGTCGAAGGAGTATATTTGTTCTATGTATTTTACATAGAACAATATTTGTTCTATGTATTTTTTTTTTGTTTAATATATATTATATAGTTTGAAAATACTTATATCTCATACCTGCTGAATGAAAGGCAAATGATGCACTAATTGAAGGATAATGTTATTGTACATATAATAAGGTCAGTGAGCGGTCTAACCAGGCACAAATACAATTACATTACAATGACTGACAGGCCAACATCAGCATTCTTTGCGTTTCATTTTTCCATCTCTGTAATTGGGACTTTTCCTTTAGCCTCTCCGGTTGTAGTCTTCAATTGCTCTGCCATTTTTTTGTATAGTTACAGTGTACTTGGTACTACGCCCTTAAAGATAAAGAAATAGGCACTGAGAAGATAGAACAAACCTTTTCAAACAAGTTCCACCCTGCTGCCATGGATGACTTTAAATTTAGATCTGACAAATTAGAGAGAACTGCTTATATTTTTCATACAATTTCTTCTTTTTTTCCCCCCAAAACTGAATCTACTGTGTTTTGGAAAATTGTCTCTTAAATGAGGCTTCCAAAAACGTATTGTGTCACAGTATTCGGAAAGAAATCATTAAAGCATGTGACTTGTGTCGTCAAATTGGGAACCACAGGAGACAGGTTCATGTCCCATTTGGGGTACTAACCCTAAGTGGTGAAAAAAACAAACAGTGTATGTGTTTTTGTTTGTTCTTCCCAGCAGGGCTCTCAGGAAAACACAAAAAGCACCACAGAGATTCTGAGAAGTAGAGCATAACTTCTCACCGTAGCAGGCTCCTTCCTTGAGAGCTATGGCGGCAATACACTGTCAAAATTGAGCGTAAATCAGGTTGATGCGCGCGTGTAAATCAAACATCCGTCCGAGATAAAACCTTGTCAAAAAACAAACGCCCCTCTTCGGTAATCGTAGTGGACCGTAGATGACAACCAGCTACAACCATCATTTACCATCATTACCGGCACATTAAGAGCAATCCGTCCAGCTCGCAAGTTTTATCTCATAATTTCGACTTTCTATCACCTTACATTAGTAAAATGGGCTTCTATAGTTGTGTGAATGCATCACTCCAGCCAATCCACAGACGGGGTTTGTAACCAAGTAGATGTGGATACCATGGTGACTGGCTCCGCCCCCTTACTGTCAAAAAGACAGCGAGCGCGTAGAAAACACCTTCGTGCACGAGCAGAGACTGACCTCGCGAGCGTTTCTCGAGGGAGCAAATATCTCGCGCGAGATGGACATTTACGCACTTGCATCAACCTGATTTGCGCTCTCGAATTTTGACAGTGATTTGCCGCCATAGAGAGCACACATGCTGGGAAGTACAGAGACTAATGCAAATCAAATGAACGGTTGATGGACAGACGGGCGCGTTAAGTGTGTCGGCTTGATTGGCATTTTTTGGTGACCTAAATTACTTCCGTGCAACTTTCCGTATACTGCAAATGTAATCCTGTCTCTGTAAATGTTGTTTTTGAGCGTACGACAGCATGGCGAGACAGCAGATCATGCTGGAGTAACAGCTGGCTGCCGACCACCTTCTTTTCTCTCTCTGTCTCACTGCCCTCCTTTTCTTTATCTCAGGCTATCTTACTGCCTCTCTTCGCATCCTCCTGCCCACGGCCACGCTGGTTCCCTTTTCGCTTTCTTTAAACACAGTTGGTGGTGTGAAGGAGGGACAGCAAGATACTCTGTGAATAAATACATCTCCCATGTGCTTTTCATCTTTTATTAGCCATTTTAAACACACTCTTATGATGCAGATCATTTTCAAACCATTGCAGGCAAGAGGAAAC